CCTAAAGCTACTATATACCCTATATGTACCTTTAAGGGTCCCTAGAATCCGCCTAAAAGGCCTAAGGGTCCATTGTAGGGACTCCATGCTTAAGCTTGGAATGTGCTTTGTGGGTCCAAATGGCGGCCAGTACTGCTTTCATGGTGAACTAACCACAGGCTTCCTTGCAAGCAGTTCCACGTGCTCAAAGCAAGCTAGCTGTCTCAGGTCCGAAGAGCACTTCGTCCCCTTGCTTGAATGACTGGAAGGCTTGTCACTGCCCAACAGTGGAGTGTTGCGGATCAGCCATGACAGCAAGTAGGAGGCCCAAACAAGCCGTCTGACTGCAGCCCACCGGACGGGCATGTCAAGCTTGCTGCGCGTGGAGGCCATGCAGTCTGACGGTGATGAGCCAACGCCACCGCCTATGGTCGTGGATGGAGGCAGACAAGGGGTTGGCTTGCGAGGTAGCAAATTGAAAGGCTTTGAAAGATGCGTGACACGTGGTAGCGACTTCCCAATATGGTTTGATGAGGTGTTGACCCACAAGTATCATAGCCTTCACAGATTGTGTCCCACAGCTTGTTTGCTTGCAGGCCCACCTCCGTCGCTGTGTCAAGAGACTTGATATGAGCTTTGTTCAAGGAGGGTTTCAGTCGCCACTTTGAATCTGGGCCTATGTCCTCATCCATGACGCTGAGATGGGCTCACACTTGTTGTCAAAGCAAATATTGCTTTTGGAGCGGGGTGTAAGTTATTGTCTGGTCATATGGCCCTGGTTGTCGATGCGAAGAATGAAGTTTCACCCATTGGAGCGCGCTTCCTACTCCAAAGCCTGTGATGCTGTTCAAGAAGCATTCCGCAAAGCACGAGTTGTAACGGTTGTGCTACAGTACCTGGAGTGTGCTGGTGTGTAGGAGGCTCAAACCCAACGGGTCGAGAACACCGGTCGTGAAGACCAAGTGCATATTTCAAGGACGAAGTCCAACGTTTCACTCTGAGCGAGTCCGCCAGTTTTACCGGGCAACGCGAAAACTTGGGATCTCGTATCTGGACTTTTCTCCTCAGCCACGCATGATGAACGTTGTCTTGTTGAGTTGGTAGCTTCCCCCCGGAGCCTTTATAGCATTCACACACATTCTTTGGGGCTCCCACATGTTAGCCAGATCTCACAGACCACGGTCCTAGCACTAGGCGCAACTGTGTGGTTTTTGGGTTGGCCGAAGCACCACCCTTGCAGCAGTCCAAAACAAATAAATTTGGGAAAGCCTATCATATGGATAGTTTAGGGATATTATAGGGATATTTCCCCATGAATTCTCGGGATTTTACCCCAACAGGGACTGAACTGCGCATTCCTGAGGTGGGGTCCCTTTGGATTGCCACGTCTGCTGTGCCACTTAGCTGTATGAGAATGGGAAGGAATTCTCGGACGGGTGGAAGCACATCTATGATACCAGGGATTAGCCTTAGATATCCCTACAAAACGCTATATACTCTACATATCCACTTTCTCTCACCCAGAGCAGCCCAGGTTCAGTACCTATGCTAACGGGCGCTTCCTTCGAACGCTGTGCGGGCATGTTTGAGCATACTTTTCTTGTCTCTTGTCTAGAGCTGTTAGGATGAAGTGAAGTAAGCTGTTCTAGCATCACATGCACCAGTTCATGTGCTGATGTTGCACCATGTCTCTACACGGTGGTGTGTTCTGCAATTTGCCCCGCCACGCCAGGTTTCATGATCCTTTTGGGCCAGCCGGCGATGCTTGAAATCTTTGAGGGATTTGTCTGGCTGGAGCTAACACGACATAAAAAGTTGCTGAGAGTGATGGCATCACAGACGCCTGGCACAGGGATGATTGGTTGCAACATCGGACACAGAGACAAAAGCAACAAGCAGCGCTCTGCCAACCACAACTACGCCGCTTGGCCACAAGTAAACCCTCTCATGTTAGCAGTAGGAGGGCCGATGGTCGGTCTCCTGTAGCTGGTCTTTGACGCACAGCCTGCCAGTCACACCTTCGTGCGCTTCGCGTTGTCCAGCTTTCTGGGGCCTCTTGGTTCAAGTCATGACAACTGCTTTGAGCTGCAACACCTGGACGTTTGACGAATGTACACTAAAGGCAGAAACATGCGTGTTCGTCCATTGCAGCGCCCATCTTGTTGTCCTTGACCTGGTGCAAGGCTAGTATTCTCTTCTACTGCTACGGTCAGGCCCCAAGTAATGACCAAAGGCATGACTGCAGAATCGAGCCCAGCACCTTCTTTGAGGCGTCTGTCCTCACTACGTAAGCGCCCGGTTCAGAGCAAATTTGTGAATCACGCGGATTGGAGGTTTGCGGGCACAACTACCTTTTCTTTGTATCCACACATTGTAGAAGCCAAGCTCGGATTCCAAGCAGTTAAGGGAAGGCAGGGTCTCATCTGGAAACGGTTCGCTGCAAGTCTTCATAGTTCTCATAGCGACACTGAGGCTCAACCCTTGGGCCCCTATCTTCCACGACTTTCCAGGAGGCTGCTGAGGTTTTTCTTCCGAGCCACTTGTGAATGGTACGTCGCAAGACACAGATGAGCCATAAGTGCGTCCTGTGCCTAAACGTCGCAAGTATGCGGTATGCGTGACGTGAAGGGCCATCGATTGACTTCTGAATCCCGTGCCCGGCTAGCCGTGAAGATCTATGAGACCCACATGGAAAAGCAGAGCAGCCGGGCCAGGGCCTGAACTCCAAGCATCTCACTTGGCGCACACGAACACACCACAATCATACAACACGTACAGCCACAAGCAAAAAACACAGGAGCTACTGCCCCCCAGGTCAGAGCTGAAGCTTACTCAAAGCGCTTCAGCCTCAAGCATAAGCCGACACTTAGCGATGTTTGGGAAAAGTGCTAGCTGCCGCTGACCGCTGGGGGCTGAGTTTCTTACTGGTTCTTAGGAAGGAATAGGGGAATATATTTTTAGCTTTTAGGGCATAATATAGGACTTAAGAAAATGGAAACCACCAGAGCCAAGGGCCCGTCGTTCAGCGTCGAACAATTACTAGTATCATTACTAGTATCATTATTTCTATTTTCTAGGTATTAGTTCCATGAGTAATACTACTATTAGTACTATTATTCTTGCTACTCACCAAAACGGTGGTGCCTGGTGCTATGTCTACTCCTGTGAGAAGGTGAAGGCCAAGGGCTCTAAGTCTATAAGTAATAGCTACTTTGGGCCCCAAACCCTATAAATAGTACCTACATGCAGCCTTGGGGCTACCCTATACTCCCACGAGTATTGTTCCCATTGCTCGAAATCTCGCCAGCTGCCTGACAACTTGCACTGCAAGACACCGTGTAAATGCGGACCGTTGGCGTGGCCATTTTGTACGTACTTCTATGCCAGTGTGTGCATGATTCCTTAGAGAATTACGTTTCGTTGGCTTACTCTGCTCGAGCTCCCAAGGCCCATGGAGGCAACACGGAATGTCGGTGCTGGTGGCAGCTACGCCAGGCCAAGGGCAAGTGTTGAGCGGAAGTTCTCGGCACCACAAGCTAACAAGTGATGGTGCATCATGATATGCTGAGGTAGCAGGGCAAATTGTGAAGACTTAGCAGCTTGCCTTGTGACCTACCTCTTAACTATGGCTTGGTGCCTGTTAACACATGTAACCTGCTCAACTTGCAAGCTTGCCCATACTCACCAAAGCCAAGAATGCCACAGGAGATCGCAGCTTGGTGAAGCCAAGAGCAATGCTGCTTGGCTTTGGTAACATGTCAAGATAACTAACTGGCCTCAGCCAACCGCAGGTCATTGATTGTGGTGCGCAGTAACAGAGTACCAGAGACCAATCCTGTTGCAAAGGTTTGAAGATGTGCACCCTATATAGCCCCAATTTACATCTCATGTTCCACATTCTTTTCACTGGTTCTCTATTGCTTGGGTAATGTTCTTATATATAGTCCCATGTATACCCCTAAATTAAACCCTAAACCCCTTAACCATACCTATATTGAGAGCCTCTAGGACACAACATGAGCTATGGCATAAAGGGGATTATATAGGGCATAGGGAAATACTATAGGGGTTATTAAGGAGGATACTAGGACTTTAGACTATAGCTCACATGCTAAACACCTCAACGAAGCCAACAGGAGCGCAAGAGGCTGCTGACGGACAGAAACGCCTACATCGCGCTTTGGCTGCGCAGTGCTTATCCCACTGATCCAAATCATGGAAGATGAAATGGGAACTGGGGTTATACAGCGGTGATAGTGGGAATAATGGAGAATCAAATCGAAAATGGAAGGGAAACTAAGGTTATAATGACAGGGGTCATAGGAGGATCAATGTGAAACATATGTTCCTAAACCCTTTCCTCAGCCAGTCCTGCGCAAGAGCAGGTCCGGTCCACAAAATGCTAGTTCTTGAGCCTGCAAATGCATGCATGCCCGCATGAACCCCGACGCACCGCCAAAACCACTCTGTCTTTAGGCCAAACTTTGCAGCAGAATCAGCTGAGGCATACTTGGAGAATCAAGTGGAGACTGGGCTGCAATCCCCTTTGTAGCATTTTGGCCATCAGCTGTTCCGTTGAAGAAGTGATGTGTTTTGCACTCTGTCCTGAAAGCATTGTGAATGTTCTAATTTTGTTTCCAGCCGACACACAAGTACAACAACATTCAGCATGTTTTGTTCTTTCGTGTGTGTCAGCTCCGCTGACGCTATCCTAGCAAAGCCGTCTTGAGTGAGAGTCGCCAATGCCTTTCTGGATCGCATGGTTTTGTTGCAGACGTTTGGTAGTTTGCCAATCGACATAGACCCTCATATGCTATAATCCTCTTTAATTATAGGGGCCCTCAAAAGGTACACCTAATTTTGGGGAGCCCCCATTTGTTTTTAAAGCCGCCCGCAGCACACTGTCCCTCAATATTTGGCTTACAAGCCCGGAGTAGCATGTTATATTGTAGTATACTAGAATACATGGTAGCTTGTTAAAGTAAGCCTGCTATAGAAGCTGCATCACCTGAGCACTGAAGGAGCGATCAAACACAGCCTTGATGGAGGCATGTGGATCTCAGATGAGTCTGTGTTGACAATTAGTCTCAGGCAGATCTCACAGATCCTGCCTGCTGCTACGCATGTATACAGAACCTGCAGAAGCCTATCTACCCATCCTCGCCGTAGCGCAAGCCCTTCGTGTTGCCGGCCCCTACAACTGTACTGTCCTTAGGATTTTTCCTTGATTAAATATCAAAGATATCAATTTTCATTATAGGCCTAAGGAAACTACAAATATGACATATATATATATATATGCCCTATATAATCCCTATATAACCCATTTTCTTTTCCATTATCCCTAGAGAATCATTAGGCAAAAGCTCCTGAGGTGACCCCTGGGGAGAGCGTCTTGAACAGCTCAGTGTCCTTAAGATAGCACCTAGGGCCTAGAACTTTGGCTCGAGGGTCGCCATGCTCCAGCTCAAGCCATATTTTGTGTGAAATTTGCCGAAATTTTGTAAGTCAGCCCCATGAGGGGACTAACTCTTGGTGAGCCATGCTCATTGTCTAGATGAGATGCTCGCGCGGCACCCTGACAGAGATTTCAGAAGCTTGCAACCAATTCGTTTGGGCTTTTGTGCGATTCCTTGTGTGACAAGCGTGTAGAATGAACTAATGATAAAAGGCCATAACATGTATATTATACTGTTGAATATACTGAAGAATACAAATGTTGGTATTTTACGGCACATTATGGTATATTATACCCCTTCGGGTATACGTGCCTGATAGTGCAGGTCGAGGCAGCCGCCTCCGACCTCCGGCTGCTGAGAGGGCGCGTGGACGATCTAGAGGTGAGGGACAGAAACTTTTTTTTCAGTATTATAGTGTTATTATTACTACTCTTGCTATTAGTACTATGATTACGACCATTGCAGTTCCTCACATTACTCTTATAATTATTTTCACTGTTACTTGTAATGCTAGATTATTATTGCTGCGTTTGAAATTCGGAGGGGGTATACATTTTCCGCATTGTTTGCCACTTCTCAGTCTCAAGCACGCCAGGACGTCGTGTGTTTGTGTTGCTTCGGCTTGAATGCAATTTGACAGGGCGAAGGTCAGAAATTCAGAGGCTTCAGAGCCAGTTGTGGCTCACGCACTTTTGAAACCAAGCGTGCAGAGGCATGCAGGACAGCCTGAGGTTGCTGGAGATCTGGCAACTTGAGCAGCATGAGATAGGATAAAAGGCTTTCAGTCAAGCGACCACGCAGTGATCATGATCCCTCCCTTGCAGGAGAAGCTTCAGAGCTCCAGTCGCACTTTGGAGCTTCTTCAGGCAGGCAGACACCAGTGCAGCAGTCTGTAGGGCTGACTTGTGCGTTCATCTTGCCCTTCAGGCACAGAGCGTCCAGCTGCATGAGGCAGGGATGCGTTTGAAGCAAAACTAGACCTGTCCTTGAGTTCTCCGAAAGCATGTCACACACCATCTGCACCACACTTCAGGCGACAGCTTGAAAGCACAACCTCTTGGCAGGAACATGGTTTTGAACAAGTCTTCTGGCAATGGCAGGCAGCGCAGTCAGACCGCCATGATGCACTGGAACAAATGCATCGTGTCTGGGATGCAGACAGTCGCGGAAGATATCACACACCTGCATGTTCAGAATGAAAGCAACCGTTTGCAGACAGAAGCTTCAGCCGAATCAAAAATGGTAATTTCCCAAAATAGGGGGACCCTAATATCAGACCCTAATATACTATAATCTTGTATAATGGGATCCCCCAAAAAGGTACCCCTAATTTTGGGAAACCCCCAGCACGGAAGGGGGGAAAAGGTCGTCAGAACCAGGCACTGTAGCTGGTCCACAGATAGAAAGATTAGTCTGCATGTCCATTATTGCTTGTCTCAACCTTCTCTTGTTGTTATCATTACTATTACTACTATTAAAAAGATTCTTTCATTCGTGATATTCCTTTTTTCCTGTCATTATTAATTAGCATTATCATTATTATTAGTATTACCCTAAACCCTAAACCCCAAACCCTAAACCCCAAACCCTAAACCCTAAACTAGTATTATTAGTGTTACTATTGTTGTTATTACTCTTCTTACTTTTGGAAGCCAAAAAGCGTCTGAGGTCTCGAAGGCCGAGCTTTACGGCTTGAGCAGGCGATGAGAATCTGAAACCAGATCCATGGGCTTAGGGTTGATGAGTTTTAGGGTCTAGGGTTTAGGGTTTATAAGGTTTAGGGTCTAGGGTTTGTAAGGTTTAGGGGTTTAGGGTTTATAAGGTTTAGGGTCTAGGGTTTGTAAGGTTTAGGGGTTTAGGGTTGATGAGGTTTATAGGGTTTATAAGGTTTAGGCTTTAGGGCTGGTAGGGAATAAGGGAAAAGATTTCAGGGTTTAGGGTTTGGGTTAAGTCGGAACGGGCCAAATAGATTATGAGTTTAGGGTTTAGGGCTAGTAGGAAATAAGGGAAGGAATTATGTGGGGAGCATATAGGGATTTGATTCCCTTCTCCAGCAAGTAAACTCTGTGCATCTCTCATAGAACCTTATGACCCCTCTAAAAGTGCCAAGATTTAATCGAGGTTGACTGCAGCTGAGGTGGTTAAGATCATCCATTTAACATTTTGCCTTACTTCCTACTAACCCTAAACCCTAGAATATCTTCCCTCATTCTCTACTAGCCCCCGGTAAGTTTAGGATTTGTTCAGGTGCACATGTGCCATGTATATGACCAAATGTCTTAGCAGAAAGCGGGCTCAGAGATAACAACAACAGGAAACGTTAGGGGTTTCCTACAATTATATAGGGGTTATATTTAGGGATTACATAGGGGTAATATAGGGATTCTACAGGGCTATACGGGGGTAATATAGGGGTTATATTATATAGGGATAATTTAAAAGAAAGTGCAAACTACTATTTAGGATTTAGGGTTTCGCAAAATTAGGGGTACCATTTTGGGGTCCTATAATAAAGATTATAGCATGTTGGATCTATATTGGGCTTTCGCTATTTAGGGAAGTAGCAGGCTCCAAGTGCATAGCCAAGTGAGGCATACGGCATACGCATGAAGACTCATGAGGGGCCAGGATCGGCCAGTGTCTTCGTCTCACAGGGTCAGAGCAAACAGCTGCTAAGTCTTGTCTTCCTTGCTCATGAGCTTAAGAGATGTTTTGTCCAACTGCTTGCACCTTTCTATTCCCTTGCAGCATGGGAGGCTTTAGCCGAAGGTCGAAATGTGGTTGAAGCAGCTGCCTGGCAACATAATCAGCAAGGCTTACACGGACTGGCACGCTTCATGAAAGACGGGTGCAAGGTCGTCTGGCGCGTCGGGAGCAATTGGGCTAGGAGTTAGGGGCCTTGCCATTGCTTGAAGCGGAAGCTCAAAACTACGGAGTTAGTAGCGTTTCCACTCCATTGCATGGCAGGCTTCATCAGGTTTCTTTCGACTTCAAGAACCTGGAACCAGAACCTTCCGGAACCTGCAACATCTTCCTGTACTTGAAGCAAATACTACCTTCTGTTCATGCGCAAGCCTCACACACAGATGTCTGAGGACATGTCCCGGCTTCGCAATGAACTTTCGCTAGGGGCACCTGAGCTTCAATTATCAAGTTTTTGCCGTCTTCCTACTGGTGCTCAAGGGGGAGTGGGGGAGTGAACGTAGGCATTATTGTGGAGGATTATGCAGGGAGTCTTAATTACAGGGAACCAATAAGCCTTGGTTTCGTCAGGATGCAGGATTTATAAATAGTCAAGCCGTGAGGGAGTCAAGGGGTGCCGGGATTGCGTCGCAGGCCCCGTAAACCCTAAACCATATATGAATAACCCCTACATATATATATCCCTTGTAGCCCCTTACCAGGGACCCTGAACCCTAAACCACGGACTCTTTATCCCACCGTTTTGGCCAGCCTCAGGTACAAGATCTGAGCCAGCGTGTTGACGATCGCCTGAGGGTTCTGAAAGAACGCTTCGATGAGCGCTTGCATGCCCTCCAGGCTGGCAAGGGCAACGAAGAAAGAAGCAAATCTGAGTAAGATTATCATTAATAATATTGTTATTGTTACTATTATCATTACTATGGTCAACATTTTCATGTTGTTATGATCTATTTTTGTTGCTATTAGTCCTGCGGTTATAAATATTATTCTTTTTATTACTATGATTATTATGCATGTCCCATCCTGCTGCTTTGGCGCATGTTCCCAATCTGTGAGTTCTCCATCTCCAAGAGGCAGGCTACAGGATGCAAAGTTGAGGTTGGGCTCCCAGCCAATAGGGTTTAGGGTTTAGGGTATACCACTTTTAGAATAGTGGTATACTAGGAATATATAAGGACCCTAATACAACTACCTTTACCTCTTGTGCTGACTATTAGTGGTTGAGGGCCCAAACCTAATGCATCAGTGCATGTCTCTGTTGAGCCCAGGCGGCCTCCAATGATGAGGCCACAATGGTCATTCGTGAGGCGTTGGGCCGGGGGATTGGTGCCTAGACGCCTAACTGCAACGCTAAACCCCTCAACCCGAAACCCTTCCAAGCTTTGCCCAAGATTTTTCCCAGATGAACGTATTGCCTGTTATTTCGGATTGATCCACCAGCTCCACCACGCCTCAGTGAAAGTTCAAGGCATTTCTGTTGGATTGGGACATTGAAGACGATTTGATGCATGTGCGCAAGCCACTAATGCGTGGGCCGTTTGGGTAGCGGTGCAACAGAGCTTGCACAATGACGTCAACACACCTAGACCTCCGTGTACCCTCTATATACCCTACATAGGGACCATATACCCGCTTAAATAAAACCGAGGCTTGAAGGTTCAGTTTGCAATGTGAAAGCTGTCAGTGATGGGTTTTCTTAATAAGGCGAGAAGGAAGCGCGCTATGAGAAAACTCTGTCAATGTACTGGGGGCTTTAGGTTTAAAGTGCTGAGCTATTAATTCAACACTTATTCTTCAAATGGAGTGTTACTGCTAATGATGCTAATGTTTGAGTCTGGTTTTTGGTGGTGATTCTCATTCTGGGTTGCTATTAAAATGAGTTGCCGTAATGTGAACTGGGACAAACCCGGGTCTCTAAGGTGTATGTAATGCTGACACAACTGTTGGGCGTGCGCAGGTCATGGGACAACGATAAGAGTGAATAGAACGATAACGTATTGACTCGTGTTCTTTGATGGGAACACGAAAGGCGTAAATACGTGTGAAATTTGATAGAAAGCTGGCTTTTTTTTTGCGGCGCCCCTATGGGTATGTAGCACGTTGCATACAAGGGGTTCCTTAGCACTGCTTCAACCTTGTAATCAAAGTCCTAGTATCCCCCTTAATAAGCCTTATACTACTCCCCTATATAATCCCCTATATACACCCCCTTAAGGAGGTTAGACCCTAAACCCTAAACTCCATATAATCTCCTATACAACCCTCCTTTAAGGAGTTTAGACCTTAAATCCTAAACCCTAAACCCTATACAATCCCCTAAATCCCCCCCCTTTAAGGAGATCCAAGCTGGACAGGCTCAAGCAACCTGCGTGCGATTGGCTGATGACGTTTTGGGCATTGCCGAGGGCTCTCAGAGTCGAGGCTACATCTGGGCACCCTAAATTAGGGTTTCGGGTTCAGGGTTCTTAGGGTGTAGGGTTCTTAGGGTTTAGGGCACCCTAAAATAATTAGGGGGTGTAGGGTTTAGGGTGGGTATATGGGGGTTTCCCAAAAACTCGGGGTACCTTTAAAGGGGCTGTAGAGTGGTTGTATAGGGGTACAGGGTTCAGGCTTGTGGTTTCCCAACTTTAGGGGTACCTTTCAAGGGGTTCTTTGGGGGTTTAGGGTTAGGGTTTAGGGTTGAGGGGATGTAGGGTTTAGGGGATGTAGGGCTTAGGGTTTATCACCCTATTATTGAGACTTAAATGGAAAAGATCACGGAAAATACAATGGAAAATTTTGGGAGTACCTATAATGAAAACTAGGACCATAGTATTTTGGGGTCTATAATTATTGGCCCCCTCCCCATGTAGGGAAAGTATCAGTCATTTGTTTTGATATTATTGTATGATCCTAAGGAATTATGAAAAACTGTATTTTTTGTTCTTGTATAACCGTACTTGACTGTGAACGACATCATTTTTGGCAAGTCTACGGGGATTACAGGCATTGGGCCAGTGATCGGACTCTGGCATTTGAGTTCTGTACCAGGATTCAGGTGCATATGGGCGCTTCCTTCAGTTCTTTATAATTCGGGTCCCTGCAGCGGGGGTCCTACTACAATGCGTGTTCCTGCATCTTTCCCCCTTCGTGATGGAACAGTAATGTAAGCCAAGTCCCGCATGATGAGTGCCAAGATTGGTTGACGTCATCCACGCATTTGCGCAGGTGCAGCACATGCAGGGCTTTGACTCAGAGTGGATGGGTTTAGAGATTAGGATTGTGTAGCTCAAGGAATTTGCTCACAGTACTGGTGTCCTACACCAGCATGAAATCTCGAACTCTAAGCCCTGGATGAATCATTTTTCTCATTGCCTTGAGCAAGCCAGCAAAGATGTCCTCTCCAATCAGCAAACAAACGTATGCAAGCAGCATGGGTCTATTCCTTCGGAAATGAACTACCACCGCCGAGGTTTTGGGTATGCTACCTGTAGCACACGACCCACTAGCGTGTGATGATTTGGTAGTTTGCTTCCCTTGGATGGCCAGGTAGATGTGGTACCTTTCATGGATCCTGAAACTGGGGCTTTACACTCCCAAACTAAAATGGAAGACTGCCAAGACTACTGTCCTTTGAAGAAAGGGGCCATAACAGCTAATTGGGTAGTTGGGATTCGGGTACCGTGAATTGTAGTTTACGTTTTGGCAGAGTACATGAAAATTGACTAATTACTTGGAACCCTACCCGAACCGCAAATCAAAATACTTAACCTTAGGTCAGGCCCCCTTAAAGTAGCTGCTGCCACGATAGGTCATAAGGATCATAGTTGCTACACAATAAAACCGTTTGAAGGACGGGGAATGACCCAACCTTAACCCCAAACCCCTAAATCCGCGCCTGCTGCGTGCGATGCGCGGGCCTAAACCCCAGACCCTCTGGTTCATAGAAATATGGAGGTTTTCCGTGTCAACCCTATGACGCTCCATCCCGACGCTTTCATTCACCAGGTTTGAACCATGGTATAGGGGGGGTTTGCATTTTGGGGCTTCAGGTTTGGGGAGGGTTTGCGGCTGAAGTAGTCTGCTGTAGAGACCCGAAGACAAACATGCAGAACAAAGAAGACGGAAATGGAAACTCTGCTTATATTAGGGGCCTTGCGGTACTTTCATATGTAAGCCTAAATAATTCCGGGTAGTATTCCCCTACAACCCCTATGTCATCAATATGACAGGAGGCGCCCAAAAGCGCCGCTGAATGTATACATAAGGGTTGTACATCAGTTGAAGAGCATTACCTGTTGCTGCACGGTTTAGCATTGAGAGTTACCGGAGTTGCTGTGCCCCAGCCCCTATATCAAGTTCAAACGCCTACAGCCAAGGAAGTTCCCATAAAAGGCAAGAACCCAGACCCCTGACTAATGACCCCCCTCCCTTAATAGGGATTATCGTAGGGATCCGAATATGAAGGCCCTTAAAAGGAGGGGTTTGTTAATCATGGGTCTACATTAGTGCCTGCCAGGAGCCTGCTGGGGCAGGGTTGAAGTATTAGGGTGCTATCTATCTGTTGGGGCTTCTACCCTACGGATCCAAGGACTCATATTCAGATGCCTTCCCCCAAGCCTATGGCAATAACAGCTCTAACTTTTGTGTCTACCATAGTCATAGTCATGGTAACAGTATTGGTAATAATCGTAAAAGTCCCGGCAATATAACAATGATGACGCTAAGGCCTAAACTCTAAACTAGTGCTAGTCATCTGCTCTGCTTGATGGCCTGACTGTAACTGTAGGGTAAACGGGGCGCCAAAAAAGTGTTGTCAGTACTGTAGTCTCTAGGAATTATGCTCATTTCTAAAGTGTAGCCCTAAGGAATTATTGAAAGTAGTACTTTTGTTAAAGGCCTAAGTGGACTGCAGTGGTAGGAAATTTCTCAAACCCAGCCCTGCATACTTCAAAACCAACTGGGATGAGACGGCGCAAAATATAAGTGTTGGTGTTGCCAAAGTTGCAGTGGGGCCACCGCGATCTGTTCATTGGAGGATGAAAGGTTTGTCCGGTTCATTCTCCGTTTTAGACCACCGGTTCCCAATGCCATGACTACCTTAAATGCAAGAGTTTTCAACAATATTCTTACTATTATTACCGTTGCAGACACCACCACGAGGCCCAGCAGCATCACATCAAGCGAGCCCTATGGCCTACGGCTTGCCGCATCCATAGCAGTTGTTGGTGCCTTTTTCGGCCTTGACACCAGCCTGGTCCATGGCCTCCACTAGCTTCAGTCTAATACATCGAACCCTACACCCTAAACTGATTGCGCGGTCTTCCTATAAACGGCACGCTTTGCATGAGTTGCAGGCCATGTTGCCGTAAAAACTTCAGCCAAACCTATAGCAAGAGTCTGCTTCGTGTTTGAAGTTGTGCTAGCTGCTAGAACCAGTCACTCATCACAGCTCTGTTAATGGAGCAAAGAAGAACATGTGTCCTATAGGAAGCGAGGGTTGTCCTGTCCTTCCTGCCGCAGTTCTGTCAAAGTGTTGCACTGGTTTTGAGAGCCACCTTGTTCCACAAGAGGTTATGAAACATCTTTTTTGCGATGGTAAGAGAGAGAAGTCTAGAACCACTGCTTCATGAGGCAGGAGCAACTTGGGCAGGCGGTATGCCCAGGCACGACAGCTACTGGTAACTGAGCGAAAACTCGGCAAAAATTACACTCTTTCCTGGCATGGCACACCAGGAGTACGCCAGAATGAAGCATTTCCTAATGGAGTACTGAAAGGAGTAGCGCAGGAATCCCCCCCAAAAGGAACCGGGAGTTCTCTAGCTGTCTCTGCATGCTCACACAACATGCCTCTACACAATCCCCCAATACAACCCTTCCATAATCTCCCACCATACAACTAGATAATACCCTCCAACATATGCATAAATACCTTCATAATCCCCCCAATGCAGCCTTGTATTCATGGCAACAACCATGAGCTGTGTCTTGGGTCCTCGCTACGGGCCTTTGTTAGTTTTTTTAGGGTTCAATAGGGTAACTAATGGGCATACAAGGGTCCCAAGATTCAGGGCCCACATTATAGTTCCAACCTTTTCTTATATGCCCTACCAAAGTATAACTGCATTGCTAACTGTAACCCCTAAAGACACATATCTTTGCAGCCAGATTCTGCAGAGAAAGCTGATTCTGATTATGGAATAAAGCGGGGAACGTCGCCGTCGCCAAAATTGGCTGCATGTAGGGCCTGTAACCCTAAATCCTAAACCCCTAAACCCAAGAAAATAGATCTCTATGCCATAGAGGCAAAAGGCACTTATTCGAGCAGATGTGGAATCATGTGCTTTGCAAAGCACATCTTCGAATGCGGATTTGCTGCATACGCGGCCGCCCCAAGGATAGGAATTTTGAGCCCCCAAACCCTATATGATCCCCTATAACACCCCCTTTAAGGAGTTTAGATTCTATGCTGCGCCGACGCCTTGCAAATTTTTGACTGGACAATCTTGGAAGGGTAGGTCTTGGGAAATAATATGAGCCAGAGTCTGAACTCCTTAAAGGGGGTTATATGAGGGATTATATAGGGGACTACTATAGGGTTGTTAAGGGGGATACTAGGAGTTTAGACTCCATGGCTCATAATGAATACTTATGTTCACTTCCCCCTCAGCGCTAAGGAAGAAGGTTGAGGAGCTCAGTCGGCAAGTTAGCACCTCCCAACGGCGCCTCGAGGATCCTCAGAAAGCAAAGAGGGGAGGACTCCTTACCCCAAATAACCCCATAAGGGTGTTTCCCAAAATTCAGGGTCCCCGTATAATAAGGATTATAGTATTTTGGTGTCTATACTGGGACCCCCTTATTTTTTGGGAAGCTACCATAAAACAGAGTACTTTCCAATACTTTTTTTCCTTCAGCCAGAGAGGGGGGAGGTAAAAACCAAAGGGTGCAGGCCTGTACAAAGGGGGTGAAGATTGCTGAATCTTTCGGAAGAAGCCAACTCCAAATTCTTGAAAAAAGAAAGACCCGAAATCCTTCACGGATCGGCATATGTGCTGTACTGTATTCCCTCATCCCACTGAAAACGCTACAAAATCATAAGCACAATTATTTCATTGCTTTCCACATTCTATAACATACTTCGACCTCAAGACCCAGAACCCCTCTCCTGAAAGATTAGGACGTGACAGCTATACACCCTTTTGCTAAACTGCATGCCCTAAGTTCAAGAGGTGCTTTTTTTCGAGACCTCGCAAGATCAAACAAGAAGCGCCCCGCATGTTGACGGTACACACGATTTCTATGTTTCGGTGTCATCCGGTCATTGCTATGCATCCAAAACCCTTGTGTCTGAAACGGTCCCTCGACGTGAAAGTAGCTAGAATAGGCAGTTGACTTCCTGTCTTATCATTGCTCGAACTTAGGATTTGGAGAGGCAGACCGAGGCGGCCATCCTGTGGCACAGAGCACCTGAGCCCTCTCTCCATGCAAGCATAGGTGGCTAATGAGCCCAATGTTCCTGCTAGATCCTAGTGGCGCGGCCCACGGTCTGCTAAGCCTGCTAAGCAGAATTATTGCTAAAGAGGGTTTCTCTGGCTCGGAAGAACTTCCATCATTGTGTTCCTCCATACCCAAAGCATGGAACCATGATTTCCTATCAACTTAAAAAACAGGCTGGCCTGGAGACCCTTCGTGCTGAGAACGTCGCGGTGCGCGCGGAGGTGGCCGGGCAAACAGCGCGGCGCCGCGAGGGTCCGAACCGCTAAGCTGTGTAGCTGCTCCGGGGAAATCCTTCTTGCTCATGTGAACCTCAAAATGCAGCAGGTGCTGGTTTGCAGTGTCCTCACAGCTGTGCCATCTGTTGCTGTTGCGAAAGCGGATGAAGACCGAATGAGAGTGCGTGTTTGGGAGATGCATGGTGCGTTATTGCGCAGCAACGCTAGAAATGCGCTCTGCTTCCGCTGAAGGATTGCCGGCACCACCGGCACAGCCAACAGATAGTCTGGAGCCTGCTGCTGCCCCAACAGAGGATTGATTAAGAGCATGGTGTGCGAATCACAAGATGTTTGCACACAGTTGACAGAGTGTGGAGACCTTGGAAGTAAGTAGGCAGCCTTGTGCCTGGCAGAGGACTTAGCGGAGGCTATCGAGCGCCGGTTGACCTCTCGTTTGGGGCAGACACCCTAGCTGTAGACATATCCTCCACCATGCGAGCACAGAGTGCAAAGCCCTTTCAGCAGAATTCAGTCATAGATCCTTTGGAAAGCGGCAACGACTTGCTTGTTTCATGCGTATGCAGTTGCATGCAAACCTTCGTGTGCTTCACCCAGGCAGCAAGTGCTTCAACTCAGTGAAGTCCTCCAGCGAGTGGTCCAGAGCCAGGCAACGCTCACGCAGCAGCTCACAGGCGCAAGGGTCCTGAATCCGATTTGTGCTTTGCGGTAGTTGCCCTACTACAGCAACGTCCCCCTGCCAGGTCCTACCGGGGCCAAAGCAAAGGATCGGATCTCGAGATTCATGGATGGCATCCCAGACGCACAGCAAGCCGCCATTTGTTTTGGACATTTTCTTGCAGCCTTCGCTTTTTGATGTGAATGTGTAGGCATGGCAAGACTCGGCCGCAAGCACATTTGCCAATTTTGCCCAGAGGGAATGGCGCTTCAGATGAGTTCATTCGGCTTCGAAGCATATGCTCAAGCCTTGCTCAGGCTTGAAGCCGCCCGTAGCTGCCTCCGAGGCCGGGCATTCTGGGGGCCGAAGCAAAGCTCAGGGTCCAAGTAGAAGAGGTGTATATGAGCTATATATAGTCTGAACTCTTTTAAGGGGGTTATATAGGGATTATATGGGGGGCGATACTAGGGGCTATGAAGGAGTATACCAGGGGGGGTAGACAATAGCGCATATGCGTTTGATCCAATCCAGCCTTGCGTCGCTTTATGTGTACTTGCCTGTCACGACATCTCCTGGATGAACCCCAGCATGCAGGATAATTATGCAGCTCGTGTTTGCGTTTCCTTGCATCAAGGCAAACACATGTGAAATTAGGCCTCTGTTAAGCCTGTATTTCTTGGCACTGTCAAGGCAGAGCCCCGTGCATCGTCCGAGGGCAGGAAGCAAGCCATTGAGGAGTTTCCCGGCGCATGAACGAGCATCACAAAAGTCATCACAATGGCAAGGACGAAGCCGCCTCAAAGTCATCAACATTGCTGTAATTATTGTTGAAATTTGAGGGCGGCTTAGGGTGTAGGATGCTGAACACGGCCGCCCTAGAGGGGGGGCAGTGGAGAAAAAGCTGGGTTGCCTTGCGAACAACTCTTACACTCTCAGACGATGCTTGCCCAGTAGGGTTTAGGATATTGAGAGTTTTGATGAGTTCAGGGTTTAGCGTTGGGAATTTAGGGATTACATCTCCTTTAGGGGTTATATATGGATAGTGGAAGAGAAAATACAAGCCACTGTTTGGGGTTTAGGGCTGCAGAGGGACAGTACCCCAACAATGGTAATTCAAATGGATAAGACAATCAAATGGATACTTTGGGTTATATGGGGGGATAATATGCTTCCCGCCGCTGCAATCTGTGTCTCAAGCAGTTGAGGTTGTACCAGGAACTCCGGCAATTGGAGGCGGGAGTTCCTGTGAGGGCTCGAAGGTTCTGAAGCTTGGCTTGACAGCCTCTTTTGGGTTTAGGGGTGTTTAGAGTTTAGGGTTCTGTTTAGGGTTTAGGGTTCTGTTTTGCGTGTACTTGTCCTGCTGAGCTGTCCAGAGTTTGGGTTTGAGGTTTGGTTTGCATTTGGGACTGGCAGGCCTTGGTGTGTGCTTATGAATTCAAAGGCGATTTTAGGTGATCTGAATGGTATTTTGGTTCTGTATGCTCCCAGAAGCAGTCCAAAGGGTGGTGTAGAACGGCTGGCGTGCTTGTCAATGCTGAACACAGCGTGGTCACAATGACTGGCACTCAGTCTGCCTGAAAATCATGCACAGAGCTTCCCATCCAAGGACTCGCGCGCAGGTGAGCAGTTTCACCGCTTGATTTCAAGTGTTGCCTGTGCAGTCATTCCAGCAACAACGCTGGGAACGCACAGTCGCAATGCTGAATTTGGTTTATGAGGCATCTTGCTATGGGAGATCTGCTTAGGGAGACTGACTGTTGGTTTGGTCGCTAGAATAGCATCGGCAGCATTTGTTTTCGTGTTTTTATGTTCGCGTCTATTGCACGGATGAGTGACACCATTCTCATGATTAGGTCCAGGTGGTAGTGTCCATAAATGAGGGTACCTTGATATAGACCCCCAAGAAGTGATAATCCTTATTATGCCAAAACGGTACCCCTGGTTTTGAGGAACCCCCTAGGCTGTTTCATGCTAGCTTAGCATGCCAGCTTCAAACTTGTTGGGGCGGACCCCGGTGCCATACTCTATTCCCGGTTGTGAGTAGGGAAGAATGGAATATATTATACATGGATTATGTAGGGGTTATGTTCCCTTATTCCCTACTAACGACCAGTAAGTCCAGGGCTCTTAGACTGTGCCTGCTTGCGCGCGTTACGCGCATGACCCAGGCTTCACACTTCTAGCAGATTCCAATGGGTGCTGCCTGGCAAACATGGAGGAAGTAGCTTGGCCAATAGTGTGCAAAGCCAAAGATCTCGGAGGTCTATCCAGAAGAATCTGCTTCAATGCGAAGCCTTAATTCATGATGCTGAAGCTGCATAGGGAGCCTTTCCCCAAGAGTATTCAGGCGCAGCAACGGGCAAAAAGCAGGACTCATGGCAGCTGTGGATGACAGCAAGCATCCCTCAGTCACATTATTATTCACGGGATTGCAGGTTTAGGGTTTAGGGTTCAGGGTATATTGGGGTAAATATGGGGGATAATGGAAAAGAAAATGGAAACTACTATAATGGGGTTATATTGGGTGGTTCTCAAAATTATGGCCC